TTTTTAACTACCCACAAGGAATTCCTAGATATTTATATATCTTGATGTTCAGACATTTACTTATGTGTTGATACTTTTTTAATTATTTAAATGTACTTATATTAAGAAAAAATATCAAGTACTACATTTTTCTTTATAATAGCCAAAGTTAAATGTATCACATTGAAGATGGCTGGGAGAAATGGATGGGTAATGTGATTGCTTGGTTATCTAGAAATATTGTTTACATTAAACTCCCTTTTATGTTATTCAAACAAGTTGGTAGCTAATGCAGCAATGTTTTTAATTGGATTTTAGACACTGAGGGTCACTCCAAAGATCACAAGTATGAAATTTTCTGCTAGGCTCAACAAAGGGTCTCATACCTGGCTCCTTCCCTTTGAAAAGAAAAGGTTAAAAGCTGGTCCCAAGGATTCAGACAGGTGCCAATGATTACACCTCTGAAGGGGATTTTGTTTCTCTCTGGAGGTGTGCTTGACCCACCGTCTTCTGATCATTTCATGCAGGCTTTATAACAGAACACGTCCAAAGTAAGCTGTGTGGGAAAGCAGTTTTTACTTGGGAGCCAAATCAATAAATAGGAATTCTTAAACCACTCAATTCAGGAGTAGCAGGAAACTATCGCCCATTAATACAAAACATTCATTGATGCAAAGAAAACCCGTGGCCATACCCCAAAGCTGAGGGCAGAAGTTAGGAAAGTCTGGGTACCTTGGGAGTCCAAAGGCCGAATTTTTCAGAAGGTAAACCTCCAAACTTTGGGAGAGCCGATTTCCCTTTGCCTAAATTAGCGGAATCAGTCCAGGAGACACCACACCACCGTGTGCGAGAGCCCTATCGTGAGCTGCTCGCTTACCAGCATCTTTGAGTTGCTTCCGCCAGGCTGAGACCCCTGCCCTTTTGGGTGTGTGCACTTGATCTGTGCACTAGCATGACAGGAAAGATGCATGTCTCTGCTGCCCATGGCTCAGATTCAAATGTATCCGATGTCACTGTAAATTTTATGGCACTGTTTTTGGTTTTGGGTTTGGTTTATTTTTTGGTTTTTGGTTTTGTTTTTTGGGGATTTTGTTTTGTTTTTTGTTTTTTTAATTGGAGGACTTGGTCAGAATGCAGTTGTTCTACAACTCATAAATACTAACTGCTGATTTTTGAAATGTGTGCTCAAAATGATCTGGTTGTTATTAATGTACCTCTTAAATTAGTTGAAATCTTATCAGGTCAACTCTGAAGAGTGTTTGAAAGCAGGACTTCAGAACAGTGTTTGATTTTTATTTTATAAAGTTAAGCATTCAAATTAGATCTTTGGCTGCAGGCAGCAACAACAGCTGGACTTATTTAAAAAGACAACTTGTTTTTGAGTTTTATATATATATATATGTATTGATTATTTGTTTTACACAGATGCAGCAGCACTTTGGTAGGAGTTTAAAAGTAAAGCAGCGTGTGATGGCAGGTCTTTCTTATCTAGAGAAGAGCTGTAGCAGGTCTTGGAGAAACTCAGAATATATTCATTTTAATTTTAGACATAACTCCTTCCGCCCTTCAGTTTCATTTGTTATCCCACAGTACAATGTTGCAGCTAAATTACCATCAAGTGTCAGAAAAATAAAAATTTAATTTCTGAAAAGGACCGTTAGTTTACTTTTCAAAAATTAAATGTTCTTTTCAATGTGTGTTACCATATCCAATCTGAGGAAAAAAATGCTAGGGAAAGATGAAGGAAATAATATTTTTTCACTTTAATTCTGATACCTGAAGGTACTCTAACCCTAAGAGGGGAATCAGATAATCTCACACATTGAACCTTTACTCTCAAAACCATGTGTGAAGAGGGCTTGTGGGTTTGTGGTAGACTCTCTGGCTTGGTCATTCAGTGTTTCAGAAACACTGCCCTGCGTAAGCAGTATTTAATAATTTCAGAAAAAAAAAGAAACAGCTGTTTTGGCAATAGACTTCACACAACGAATTTGCTTAGTTTTGTTTTATTTCTACCTGAGAAACTGCATTCATTGCCGTTAGGTAAATCAAAGTGTCTCTTCATTCACCGTCTTCAGGTAAGACCCAGAGGCCAATTGTGTAATAACTGGATCTATCTGGGAGCACTGGCCCAAGAGAAGAAAAAAATGAAATGAGCCGTTTCTACTGTTTCGTCATGCCCCTGTTCATGGTTTTAACATGGACACAAATGTCAGCTCCTTCCGTTTTCCTCACTATCTGAAAATGTATTTCCCTTTGTGTTCCCCAATAACTCTTTCTTTCCTCCTCCTCCAAGCCCCACTTCCTCCTGATATTTTTGTGAGGAAGTAGCATGCACACACACCCTACCCCATACCAAATGTCCAGAACACAGGAGGTCCAGGTCTGCACCCTTTGCATCAGGAACAGAGTGTGTGCAGAGGAACAGAAGTGCTCTGACTGGAAAGAAAATCAATGTTTGCTCTCAAATGTCCTGCAATTTAGGATTGCAGATTTCTTTCTTGAAATACCTGTTTCTCCCGGACAGTCAGTGATTTTTGGTTTTGATGGGGTTGGGGGGGGTGACATTTGGGGGATCTTTTATACATAAAAATAAACGGTTTGACAACAATTCAGAAAACATTCTTTTTTACATCTGAACAAAATACCTTTTTGTTTACCCTACCGTATACATTTATTTGGGTTTTTTTGTTGTTGTTGCTGTTGGTTGGTTACTTGTGGGGAATCTCTTCCCTCGATCATTTGTCTTTCCCCACCCCCCAGAAGGGTTGCATCAACAAACTCAATTGTATTTATGTATGTAAATAGATTTCAAGCTTCATTATAAAATACTGTTAATGCCTGTAATAACTTTTTTCAATTTTTTTGTGTTTCTAAGGATTTTTCCTTTTGTTCTCTGAATACTATAGAAGAAAAATGCTTCCCTCTACTTTGTTTATTTTAGACTTTTAAAAAAAGCTACTTCTTATTCACTTTTATAAACAGCTAATAGCATGGTTCTATTTTTTTTTTAAGTTCACCTTTTGTTCTAGGGGAAATGAATGTGGAAAAAAAAAAAAAAAAAAAGCCCATAAAAGAACTGTTGGTTATTTGTGTTATTCTAAATGTATAAAAATCAATGGAAAAAAAATAAACTTCCAAATTGAAATGAGAGTATAATACATCAATCGAAAAAATACCATCCACACAGAAAATGAAGTTTCTCAGCCTCTATCTACTGTCTACTTGCATGGCAATTGTTAGATGTGGTCACAAGGCATCTCGAGATTGGTGTGTGGGCCTCTTTCTCCCTGGTACTGACATTCTGAACACCCTCTGAGGGGAAGCTGGCAAGCTCGGGTCTTAAAAGCTGACAAGACAGGAAGGAATGCCCCAGAACCCTTCAAGGTGTTCCTAAATAGCCCAGGATGGCAGGCACTCCACAGTCAGATGGCCCACCTCCCTCCTCGTGCACAGCCCATGTGAAGCAGCCTAGGGGCTTTGAACTGCGATTCCTTCTGTAAATCCAATATTATAACTAGTTTGAATGGCAAATAAACAATTTGACAACTACCTGCACTTTATCAAACTGACTTTGTCTTTCTCTGAGATGGAAACCATCTGAAGTCCACTATAACATACTATGAAATTATCTCCCACAATTCATGTTCAAGGCTGGGCCCTTCCTTCGGGGCTTCTAGCATGCCTTGATTGCAGAGGCCTAATGGCCTGGGGAGTTGGCCCAGATACCCAGGGTGGGCTCTTCAGATATGAAGAAGCATAACAATTTTTTTTAATATTTTATTTATTTTTTATTTTATATGTATGAGTGTATCGCCTGCATGTAGCACCCATGTCGTGCAATGCCGCGGAGGTCAGAAGAGGGCTTTGGATTCCCCTAGAACTGGACTTAAGGACGGTTGGTAGCCGCCATGTGGGTGCTGGGAATTGAACCTGGGTCCTCTGCAAGAGCAGTCAGTGCTCTTAACCGCTGAGCCATCTCTCCAGCCCCAGCAATTCTTTTTTAAAAAATAAGGAGGTGGCCTGGTTAGTGAAGTCCTTGCTGCAGAAATGGGAGGACCTGAGTTAGATCCCTAGAGCCCACATAAAAAGTCAGGCATGGCGTTGTAGGTATGTAATCCAAGCACTGGAGAAGTGAAGTCTGAAGAGCCCTGGCTAGCCAGGGAAACAATAACCAAGGTTACCTGCTGGACTGCTACACACACACACACACACACACACACACACACACACACTAGCACATACATGAACAGGCACATGCACACATACAAAAAATGAAAAGCACAGGGATTTGTAAACACAAAGTGGAAAGTATATGTTCAACCTGAGCCACATCTGCCTTCATGCATGTAAATAGAGGGGTCAAGCTTAGGTTGTTGTTGGAAACTTTCTAAGAAATTCTTTCCTTACCTCCACCCCGTGGAAGTGTTCTTAGCATTTCAGTCTCAGTACTCTGTGGTCCAAGTAACTACCCTGCTAAGAACCACTTTGTAAAGCTTCTTGTATGTCTGCAGCTGCCATCTTGTGGGACTCCTAACTGGTCTTAAGCAGTCTGCGGACG